GACAGATGAAAATACTTCTTTCGCCGCAAGTGTCATGATCTGCTATGTCTCCATAAGATCATACATTCCGTTGTTGACTGTCCTGACTTGCTTTCCGAAATACTTTTTAACACGAGGTTTAGGTCACGTCAGCGTCACTACCGAAGCTTCACTTTGAATGTGCATCTAAATAATACTTCTTTTTATAATGCCATTGTTAGAATGTGTCGTCTCTATAATGAATGATTACCCCAACATTTGGACATCCTTGACATATTTAATTCCAAATTTAGTAAATTTAAAAATAATGTTACGCATATTATGCCATCAACGTTGGTCTGATTTGTTAAACATCTTATACATTTTAAATACGTTTTAAATTTTATATTTATTTTTAAGTTAATACTTAGCTCTTTATGTTGCATGTAATCTCATCTTGCATCACCTACATTGCCATGTTGTGTACACATATTTAGGAGCATAGCTACGACCGAAACTGTTTGTGTTAGCTATCTATAAGACTAAGCTTTGTGTTATGTTCTGTTTTGTGTGCCTCAAAAAAAACAAAAAAAAATAAAAAAAATAAGCAGTTTACTCAATCTTTACAATAGATAGGCCAATACGAGATCAGTCATTATCTCCCTTGTGGGACAAAGGTTACACACCATTTGGGGACTTGTAACGAATAACAAGTGTCTTAGCTAAATATTAATTTACAAAATTAAAATCAGGAACATCGTACACACACATCGTACAAACAGGTACTGAAAACTAAATTGGAAAATGATTTTTTTATACTTGCTAAGTCTTCTGGTGTTATGTGATGGCTCACCGCTCCAGGAGGCTCCAAGTAACGTGGAACTAACAAGTTTCCATAATCAGACAGATTCTGGGTTTGTTGTAAATTGGACTGGAGTGGACAATAGAGATGAAGCTGATCCTATCCTGGGTTATAAGGTCAGTAATTATTTTTTTATGTTAAATTTATAAATCAGTTTTTTGGAACATTGATTAGTTTACTACGAATGGAACCGATATAGGAAATGTACCTATGCATTCCGTTACGTAAGAACAAAGTTAAGTCAAGCGCAGAATATACACGAACACAGTTACGTACAAAGATAATATTTTGTAAATCGTGGGAGTCATACATTGGCATATATGGGTCGACTTGATCGTTGTTGTTGGATCCCCAAAAATTCCAACCATAGCCTTTCTACAGAGCTTGGATTTTGCCTAGTACTTGGGTTCTGGAGATCTGATGGCAGTCGCTCCACGTAAAAAATCAAAGCTCAGCGTTATTGTAGTAGACTTAAAACCAACAGCAACCTAGTTTGGGAAAAAGGCTCGGAGGAAGGGTCGTCTTGATCTGAGTGACACCAACCAATCAAAGTAAACCCGTTCTAAGCAATATTTTCCTTGCTTTTCAATTCAGACCGGGGGTCACCTAAACGGCGGCAATGTACTTATGTCTCTTGAGTTTCCATGAGCGAAGGTAGTCACTTACCATTCCGTGACTTGTATGCTTGTTTGTGCCTTATGTCAAACAAAAAAAAAAAGAAATGATCCTTTTAAACAGCCTTTAGTAGTCCACTGCTGGACATAGGCCTCTCCAATAGTAGGCCAAAACCTCCTTTCTAGGAGGTTTTGGCCTACTATACCACTAGACCACTTAGTTAGTATAGGATTTGTTTCAAGTTTTCCTCTCTTTGCAGTGCTGTTGTCCTTTGCGTAGTTTGCAAAATGATGTACATGTATATGTTGTATAAAGGAAGCCAAACCCTCCTTCCTAACCCATCTGGCCAGCGTGGTATAGTAGGCCAAAATCTCATTTCTAAGGAGAGGGCTCTCTCCAGCAGGAGGCTGTTAGAGGCTCTTAATGATAATGATTATTCTTTTTCCACTTTAGAAATTAGATGAGAAAATGTATTGTATGCAGGCCACTAATATTCTTTTGACTTGTCATAATATGGAAAGTTTAACAATGATTTTTCAAGTTATACTACTCAATTCAATGAAAACAAAACTGACCTTTAATAACATTTAACGACGTGTTCTAATTTTTCAGGTAATTATACGGGAACAGGAAGTCGACTTTGCTTTTGAATTGAAAGAAGATGGTACACTGCACCCAAAGAAAACAGCCGCTGACGTACCGGTAAATTATCTATGCAATATAAAATTATTTGTCCTGACTGAGTGACTGATTCATGAACACAGAGCCTAGTATGATATAAACAATTGTGACTATTTCCGTTGTTTCTCAATTTTCAGTCAATCGTGTTTGATGGCAAGATAAATGTTTTATTCGAGTTGAAGCCCAACGGACAATTTGTGAAAATGGAACTGTACGATATGCTGGTACTTATCCACTATATTATTTATTTTAATTCTTTATGCACTATTGACAAATGTACAATGGCGGACATAATACCACTGGGCTTTCCTCTCGGTCTACCTTTGGGTGGTGGGGCAATTTATGTCTAGGTGCTCTAGAGATTAAGTTACTTTTTTTAAACAGATTATAGTCATTGATAAGATGGACAGAATTAGTGAGACAGATACATACCTACATTTTTTTTATGTTAGAGAGGGCAGACGAGCAGACGGGTCATCTGATGGAAAGTGACCATCGCCGCACATGAACGTCTGCACCTCAGGAGTCACAACCTACATTCATACATATTTAACTACATACCTGTTGAGTCATATAATTACTTATTTAGATATGATAATTATGTTTAAATAGTATGAAATAAAGTCGCCTTTTTGTGTTGTACTCTTAGATCTTCTAAACTGAGCACTTTAATGTGGTTTTCACCAATAGAGTGTGATTTAAGGGGAATGTTTATATATTTAATACATGAATTTTATTGTACAGGAAATCCGCGAATTTCAAAGATTTGTGTTGCTATTTTATAAAGCGCAGCATACCAAAATTAAACAAAAGTTAAAAATAACACACAACGAAACTAAACCAGTAAGGTTTGATAAATGCAACATGTTTCAATGTGCCAATCTTTCATATCTGACAGAGCTGACATGACACGTCAATGTGCCACGTATCCAACCACGCGGCTATAAAATTTTACTTATAATAACTATGTTAGTACTTATCAACTAATACTTCTCAACCTGTGTACTATAAAAAAACCTTCAATGTTGCTGAGGATTGTACGCCGTGCTTCAGAAAATAGGTGGATAGTTGTCGCCCTGACGCGACAGTCGCAGTATTTCTTTTTGTTATGTCTATATATCATTGTGTAATTGGTGTGCAATAAGGTATATTATATGGATGTTCATATATATACACCTAAGGATGTTCATTTAGAAATATATATCTGCGCGGTTGACTTTCCCAATTACAACCGTAAGTACGATTAAAATTGGAGTCGACAAAATCTGTTCGTCTTTGTGCGCTTATTATTTTTAAGTTACGTTGACTTATTTCGCTTTTGCACCTTTCAGCTTAAATTGTGGCAAAAGAAAGCAAAGTTTGTATACAAATTGAACTCAGAAGGGCTGCTGGTGCCGTTAACAGCTACAGACATACCGGTAACATATAATTTATTATTATTTTAACATTAAAACATACACTATGGGACAGCCCTTATATCTCCTTATATCCCTTATATCTTATATACGAGAGATGTGGAGGAAAATTAAAAAGGTATTTCCGCCGATAGTTATATTATTGGAGGATCTCAGGGTTTTTCATTATTGGTACTCCAAATTGATGTAGAAGTCCTACCAATGGTAAATGAAGAGAGGTAATTGTTGAATGCTTATTGAAAACAGAAGAGGAAAAATAGTTGGACACTTGATAAGACACAACAACTTCTTCACAATAATACTGGAAGGAAAAGAAGGCAAGAGAAACGAGGAGGGCCTAGATCAATAAACATACAGCAAGTGAAGAAGAAAGTGGGAGTTGTGGCTAATCAAGAGGTCAAAAAGATCGCAAGAACTAGAGAAGCGGCGATTGCTCCACCGACAAGGGCTTGCCTCTCAAATTGAGAGAGAGAGATCAAATTGGTGGTGACTGAAGACTGACCAAGATTTAAATTTTGGTGTTACGAAACGGTGTCAGAAGGTTTCAGCCGATACTAGTCCGATAGTTCCGAATAGTGAAGCTACATCTTCGCGCAGGGCCAAGGGGACGAGCCGATCGGAGATATTGTGGCTATCGACGATAAGAGTCACTCTCCGTTGGCTGCGGTCCAGAGGGAGAAGCAGGTACTGGGGTGCCCCTGCAGATGAGAACATTGAGAGTTTACTTGCGGACCGAACTTGCACCTTTTAGAGTAGAAGGCGGGGGCCAGAGTGAAATATTGCTGCGATCTGTTCAGCACACTAAGCTTCTTCGAGGCTAATTTGACCTTACTCAGTAAATTACCACAAAACTGGACTTCGCTCGATATGTCAAGGCCAACAATTTCGATACCAGCTGAGGCAGTTAGGCAGGTACTCTCAAACCAAGATGATTCGACAAACTGTATCTTTATGCGGTTAACGTGCAAACCTGCGTCTTTATGGGGTTAAATTGGACTGGATTCAATCGACCTCAAACTGAAACATCGGCTTAGGAAGTTTCAATTTTAGACACAAGTTTGTTTCGGCTCTTGATGAAGTTTGCCCGAGATATGATGGGGCAGCTGGTATAAGAAACAGTGTGGATGAAAGGTAGCTGCTTAAGGCTATCCCTTGGTCTCGTTTGCCTAAGACCAACCCACCAGTGTGTTAGATAAACGAGAATATCACCAGTTGAGCAACTCCAACGAAAGGGGCATTGTCGGCCATTGAGTGGCTGGTGATGTTGTAGGTACCGGAGCTAACAGTTAATTATGGATTCCATAATCTTAAAGAATAAGGAAGGTTATGATTGTAGTAGCAGGACTAATTCAAACGGTCGCCTTTTTTAAGGAATTAGGTGCACAAGCGCTATCTTCCAGGAGTTCGGGACGACGGCTAAAGAATCGAAAAGGGCATGTTAAAACCGGTGCCAACTCTGCACACGTCTTTAGCACCATAGGAGAGATTCCATCGCAGAGATTAAATTTTTATATGTTTTCAAACGTTTATTATATTATTTTTATATGTCTTCAAACGTCTTCAAACGTTCTTCAGAGAAAGGATTTTATTTTCACTTAGGGCATGCACTTGTGATATTATGCACTCTGCCCGGTCGTTTTCGCGTTCTATATCACATTAAATAATGTGTATTTTTTATTAAATTACTGTTGAAGCGTAGACGCTAATTAAAAAAAATATGGCAAGTCATACTACCAATACCAATACCTACATACCAATATTTATACTGTTATAAATTTATAAGTAATCAGAGTTTTTTAAAACAAATTTAATATATTCTCAGGCCTTAGAACTACAACACGACTCAATGACTAGAGTGACCGAATTAGAGGTACTGGCAAATAAAACCGAACTTGAGTTTAACGGGACGAAACGAAGTTACATCTACGAAGTCGCCGTGCAAGCTTTTACGACAAAATCTAAGGGACCTTGGTCGAAAAAGACAAAAATAGTTACTTACTAATCTTCAGAACGAAACAAAATTTGCTAACCCTTATTTTATAGTGCGTTAAACAATTATATAAACAAATTTCAAGTTAATATTGTTGTTTGTTTTTATAGCAATTAAGTTTTATAATATTTTTCCTTAAAAGGTGTGTTTTTATGGTGTCCGGGTTAAACGAACAGACTGGTCACTTAATGGTAACTAACTACCGCCGTCACGTTTTGGGTTCCTTCTTCCCTTCAGCATTAAGGAGGGTGTCAGTCATGCATGCATGGATCCCGCAAGCTGAATGCTGCGCGCCATGGTCGCCACGCCGAATCCTATTGCGCTGGGTGTTGTGGGTTCGATCCTCACATGGAACACCACATTATCATCATCATCATCAGCCTATCGCAGTCCACTGCTGGACATAGGCCTCTCCCATTGCACGTCACTTCGAGCTCCTCCTCCTTTGCAAATGGTGACTCCACCTGGCCTGTGGGCGTCCTACACTACGTTTGCCGAGACACAGTCTCCACTCAAGAACTCGTTTTCCCCAACGGTTGTCGGTTCTGCGGCTAATATGGCCAGCCCACTGCCACTTCAGCTTGCTGATTCGGTAGAGCACAAGCCACAAGCAGGGCTATTTCACAATGAGTGTATTGTATGTAATGTTAATAGTGTATGTCCTGCTGTTTACGGTTCATGAGGTCACATGTTACAATTAATATACGTACAAAAACACATAGTATATATACATGAAATCACTTGTGTCGTCTGAACCACACGTGTGGATGTTTTTAAAACTTGTGACGAAAGAAATTAATCTTAACTGGGGTCAAGTTCAGCAAAATAAAGCTTAAACACTACTATGTCTTAAATGTAGTCTGCGAGCTTAAAAATAATAAAACAGCTAATTCTTGATAGTGCTATGTAAATGGGTTTAAATAACAATTATAAACTTTATGGGGATTAGAATAGAATATACTTTGTAATGCACGAAAGCATTTCAGTAAACAATGGTTAGAAAGTGGAAAAGTGCAAAAAGCTAAAATTTTTAAACATTACATTTGTAAAATCCATGTAGTGATGGATTAGGAATACGCAGTGTCACCACCCCTGTTCATCTTATGGGTGTCCTAAGAGCCGACTAAGGGAGCAAACTACGCAGGATATAGCACTTCAAGAAAAACACAACATTAGACAAACCTTACACCAACCCGTGTGGCCAGCGTGGTATAATAGGCCAAAACCTCCTTTCTAAGAAGAGTCTAGCAGTGGACTACTAATGGCTATTATTGAAATATAAAATCATCATCATCAACAGTCTTTAATAGTCTACTGCTGGACAAGGGCCTCTTGGGGTGGCGACACTACGTATTCTTAATCCATCACAACACGGATAAATTGACTAACGAAATTTAGCATTATGAAAATGACGAGCTTTACTGGAAAATTCTTATAACGATGTGGGATAACCTAATGCACCACCTTTTAGACATTTATAATGCTACAATGTACATACATATTTTAGTCTAATCTAATCAACATGGCCTTTGACTCTACTAGTAACATATTGTGAGGAGACGTGACATCTCATTGCTATTAAACTAAGATCAAAAAGCTATCTAAACATATTAAAACAAAAACAAAGTAACAACAATAAAGAACAAAAACAACAATATCCTTATCTTATCTTTATCCAACCCATTTGTGCCACTTGCCGAAAATCTTCCACCTGGACACGAGTTGCCATGGCTGACCTGGAAGTCTCTAAACAGACTCCGGACACAGGTAGGCCGAAGTAAAGAAAACCTGTACAGGTGGAGATTCATAGATGACTCTGCCCTGGAGTGTAAATGTGGTCTTGCCCCACAAACTATGGGGCACTTGATATCGTGTCCAGCCTGTCCTGTTACTTGCACATCACAGGAACTGATGGAGGCTACTGAAAGTGCCGAACTCGTCGCCAAATTTTGGGCCGACTCAATTTGAATTGTCATCGACACGCTAAGAAGAACAATATCCTGATTTAAGGGTGCTTTTCCACCAGATGGGCGAGGCGAGGCAAGGCTAAGGCAAGACTACGAAGCTCTAAAGTCATGTTGTCCATGACTGCAGAGCTTTAGAGTGGCCAATATAGAATGTTTTGAAGCGTGTTGATATCACCACATGTTTCAAAATATTATTCATTGCCATCAAAAAGTAATACTATCTATCTGTTAAGATGGTGGTCGCGGGGGTCGTCGGGGAACTAACTACTAGACAAATTGGCCAGTTGTTTTGTCGACCATTTTGAATTTGAAAAGCTTTTTTTATTTGTAATATAAATTGTAATGAGTAATTTACCAATTCTGGGGGGAGGAGGAGGGGTTGGCACTCAAAGGGTATCAACACATTTGTGTCCATGCTGCAGATGTATATGGGCGGCGGTAATCACTTACCATTAGTTGCTCCGTCTTTTAATTTGCCCCCCTATACTATAAATAATTACGTGTCAGTAGTAAATTCCAATCGGATTGGGAGTCTGCCGCGGAAGATCTATGGGTGACAATTTCTTTTCCCGAAACCGGAATTGGCAAACTTATGAATCTTTGCACTTGTTACTTACCCCCAGATTTACCCAGTTATTTAATTGAATCGTTTTAGAATAACTGTCAAAGGATAATAACAGAAACTTCTTTCCAACGGCGAATTCATTCTTGTTGGTGATTTCAACACGCCCTCTCTTACGTGGTCTATGAGTACTAACTCTTGCGTAATGATCCCAATTATCAAAAATGTAGGGAACTGATTGACACTCTAAATTTGTGTGGCCCCCGTCAATTTAATAACATTCCCAACAAAAATACCCTTGTGCTTTCAACACTAAACACTGTTCAAGTTTATGGCTACGAGCCATTAAGTCGCGCTGATAATCATCATACACTTTTCATTGTAGACTGCGACTCAAGTAACATTGACCTGAAAAGTCTTAAACCGGCAAGGCGTAAGAAATTTAACTTCTTTAAATGTCACTATGATAAAGTAATAGAAGAGTTGGTTAAGGTTGACTGGTCTGCGAAGTTGGATGATACTGATGTTGATAGTGCGGTTAGCAAATTTTACTCTATCCTTAACGAAACTTATGAATGAAGATTACAAAAGTTTTGTTTCATCTTTTGAGTCTTCATTGACATCGGACATAAAATATTTCTGGAGATATGTCAACAACAAAAAAAAAACTACCTCAATACCCTTAACCATGACATATAATAACAAAAGCTCTACAAATCACACAGATATTTGTGACCTATTCGTTAGTTACTTTAGCACTGTATACGAATCTCCCACGTCTGATATTAGTGTGCCTGTCTTCTCTAACAATCGACAAGACATTAAGCACTATACACATAAATGAAAAAGACATTCTAAAGAAAATTCTAAATCTAGATGCCAACAAAGGTGCGGGACCCGGCGGTATACCTCCCTCTTTCATTAAACATTGTAGTAAAGAACTTTGCACGCCTTTGTCCACAATATTCACCAACTCCATGATCCACACCAACAAGTAGATTCCATTTACACGAATTTTTCTAAGGCCTTCGATAAAGTTAACCACGTTTTGTTATGTTGTAAACTTTCAAGCTACGGCATTCATGGCAGTCTGCTGCGATGGATCGAGTCTTATTTGTAAAGAAGGAGTTGCAATTAAGGGCGAGGTCTCTTCTCCATTTGTGGCATCCTCGGGGGTACCGCAGGGTTCGCATTTGGGTCCATTGTTCTTTGTCATATTTATTAATGACCTTGTAGATAAATTAACCAATCACTGCCTGCTCTACGCAGATGATCTTAAGGTCTTTTCTATCATTAAGAGTACCCAGGATGCGAAAATCCTTCAAAAAGACCTAGAGAGTATAGACAATTGGTGCGTTGAGAATTGTATGACCTTAAATGTGGCCAAAGGTTGTGTTATCTCTTTTACAACTAAATTTCAGAAAGTACTGTTCAATTACAATCTTAATGATCTCTTAAAAGAAAGCAGGTTGTAAAGGATCTCGGTGTTGCTTTTGATGAAAAATTGACTTTTCGTGAACATCATAATAATATACTTAGCTTCGAGCCTTCTGGGATTCATATTGGGAGTCACGAAGGAGTTCAGGAAGGCTCGTAGTCTTCTCCTCCTTTTTAATGCTCTCATTCACACTGTACTAGAGTACAATTCACCTGCCTGGTGTCCATACTATGCTGTCCAAATAAATGTATAGGTGTCATGTATGTTATATTTATTATAGTAGCATAACAAACCTATGTACCTATTTACCTTTTTGAGACAAATAAACCCTGTTATTATTATTATTATTATGTCATTTTATACCTTGTCTGGTCTCCCTTTTATTTTAAAGGGGTAACAAAATCTAACACACGGGCCTTAGCCAAGTGTGCCAAAAAGGGATGATGATATGAAGTTAAGATGATGAGGATGAAGCGTGAAATTTGCGTGTGAGACGGCATGTGTTAAGAAGGACTGCTTTTTGTAAGAGTATGAGAGAGGATTTCGGCATTTCCAATGTGTTGAGGCTATCTTGAAGAGTCTTCGGTACTACACCAGTTGTAGATATGACAATGGGTACTATTTTAACTCTATCTACCTGCCATTGCCTTTTTATTTCCGTTGCTAAGTCTATGTATTTAGTCATCTTTTCTGTGTGCGTCGTGAGGAGATTGTGTGTGTTACATACTGCTATGTCTATAATAAAAACTATTTTGTTAGTTTTGTCTAGTATTGTTATATCCGGTCTATTATAATGTATGGTTTTGTCGGTAATTATTATCCTATCCCAATATATTTTAAATGCATTATTTTCTAGAACTGTACTGGGTTTATATTTATAATAAGCAGTTTTATTTGAAATAAATTAGTATTTGTGAGCTAGATTTTGATGGATTATTGCTGCAACTTGGTCATGTCTGTGTTTATAATCAGTTTGTACAATAGATTTACAAGAACCAGTGATGTGTTGGATGGTTTCGGAACTGCTATGGCATCGTCTACATAA